ATTGGTTGGATGCAGGGGCAGACTGACAACTCATGGGGCCCCCGGGCAATAGGGGATCATGGGGCCCCTGTGTCCTTGCCCACACTCAAAGCACACCCAAAAAAGCCTATTAAAAAGGTACCAGGGGCATTTCATGGGGCCCCCTACTGACCCCGGGCCCTCAGGCAGTGCCCAAGTACTCGAATGGTCAGTCCGCCCCTGGTTTGATGATTCTCCTCTGCCAGCTCTTACATTCGTTTAGCCTAAAAATCAAAGAACTACACCACCAAAGTAGATTTTATTCCAAACAATAAATAAGTGCAGTCAACACGTCAGGGCCTTAAGAAGATATGAAATTAGCTGCTGTAGACTCAGGGTTGTGATGTGATTGGAAAACTTGCATGAATAAAGAGATACACTATATTGTCAAAAGTATTGGGACGCCTGCCTTTACACACACATGAACTTTAATGGCATCCCAGTCTTAGTCTTAATTAGGGTTCAATAGCAAGTTGGCCCACCCTTTGCAGCTATAACAACTTCAACTCTTCTGGGAAAGCTGTCCACAAGGTTTAGGAGTGCGTTTGTGGGAATATTTGACCATTCTTCCAGAAGCTCATTTGTGAGGTCAGACATTGATGTTGAACGATAAGGGCTGGCTTGTAGTCTCCGCTCTAATTCTTCCCAAAGGTGTTCTATCCGGTTGAGGTCAAGACTGCAGGCCAGTCAAATTCCTCCACCCCAAACTCACTCATCCATGTCTTTATGGACCTTGCTTTGTGCAGTGTTGTGCAGTCATGTTGGAACAAGGGGCCATCCCCAAACAGTTCTCACAAAATTGGGAGCATGAAATTGTCCAAAATGTCTGGGTATGCTGATGCCTTAAGAGTTCCCTTCACTGTAACTAAGGAGCCAAGCCCAACCCCTGAAAAACAACCCTACACCATAATCCCTCCCTCTCCACCAAACTTTACACTTGACACAATGCAGTCAGGCAAGTACCGTTCTTCTGGCAAACTCCAATCCAAGGCACATCTATTGGATTGCGAGACAGAGAAGTGTGATTTGTTACTCCAGAGAACACATCTCCACTGCTCTAGAGTCCAGTGGCGGTGTACTTTGCACCACTGCATCTGGCGCTTTGCATGGCACTTGGTGATGTAAGGCTTGGATGCAGCTGCTTGGCCATGGAAACCCATTCCATGAAGCTCTCTACGCACTGTTGTTGTGCTAATTTGAAGGTAACACAAAGTTTGCAGGTCTTTAGGTATTGACTCTGCGGACAGTTGCCGACTTCTGCACACTGTACACTTCATGACGCTCTGTCATTTTACGTGGCCTACCACTTTGTGGCTGAGTTGCTGTTGTTCCCACTTGCTTCCACTTTGTCATAATACCACTAAAAGTTCACCGTGAATTATTTAGTAGCAAGGAAATTTCATGGATGGGCTTATTGCACAGATGGCAATCTATCACGGTATCATGCTTGAATTTACTGAGCTCCTGAGAGCGACCCAAAGTAGCACAGATCGCCTGCAGGAGTGCTTGTAGAGATAATCTAACTGAGGATGCTTGTCAGAGGTACACCCAGGAGCACAGCTGATTCACTGGAATACTATCTGCAGACAGGTGGCACCTGTGAGAGATAGCAGGCCTTCAGAGTAGCAGAGGACAGCAGAGTAGTAAGTTCGGAGCTAGGGTCAGATGCCAGGTGGGCTTAGAGCAGACATAGTCAGATGGATAGCTGGAGTCATACACAGAAGTGCAAGTGAAAATATCCATCAGCCACGCTGGGGTCATACACAGGAGAGCAAGTGAAAATATTCATTAGCCAAGCTGGGGTCATACATTGGACAGCAAGTGCAAATATCCATTAGCCAAGCCAGGGTCATACACAGGAGACAGGCAGGGAAGACAGAACCAGGAACAAGCCAAGTCAGTAACAGCAGATCACAATAGCCAGGGAACACAGGACAAAGGTACTGGGGAGCCAGAGATTAACCAGCAATTTGAGAAAGGGCTTCCTTATAAAGGCTGTCTGGCGCCAAACTGGGCTAATGCATGCGTAACTGTGCGCCAGTGCGCATGCGTGTTCCGGCTCGCATCCGTGCACCAATGCGCATAGATGTTCACCGTGCATTTCTGTGGCTATGCAAGGTACTGGCAGGAATACCAGGTCACCGCATACCTCTGTTGTGGACAGAGCCTTGACATTTCCATTCAAACCTCACCACCACATCTAGTCAAAGGATGTCAGGAACAAGATTTTAGACATGCACAAGGCTGGAATGGGCTAAAAGACCATCAGCATGAAGCTTGGTGAGAAGGAAACAGCTGTTGGAGTGATTATTCGCAAATGGAAGAAATACAGAATAACCACCAATCTCCCTTGGTCTGGAGCTCCATGCAAGATTTCGCCTCATGGGGTAAGGATGATCATGAGAAAAGTGATGGATCAGCGCAGAACTACACAGGAGGAGCTTGTGAAAGATCTCAAGGCAGTTGGGACCACAGTCACCAAACAAACCACTGGTAACACAGTACGCTGTCATGAATTGAAATCCTGCAGCACCCGCAAGGTCCCCCTCCTCGAGAAGGCACATGCACAGGCCCATCTGAAGTTTGCCAAAGAATATCTAATTGATTCAGAATAGGATTGGGAGAAAGTGCTGTGGTCAGATGAGACCAAAATTGAGCTCTTTGGCATTAACTTGACTTGCCATGTTTGGAGGAAGAAAAAAATGCTGACTATGACCCTAAGAACACAATCCCAACAGTCAAGCACAGAGGTGGAAACATGCTTTGATGCTTTTTCTCCAAGGTACAGGCCAACTTTGCCGCATTGAGGGGCCAATATATGGGGTCATGTATTGTAAAATCCTGAATGAGAACCTTCCTACCTCAGCCAGAACACTGAAGATGGGTTGTGCATGGGTCTTCCAGCATGACAATTACCCAAAACATACAGCCAAGGCAACAAAGGAGTGGCTCAAGAAGAAGCACATTAAGGTCATGGAGTGGCCTAGCCAGTCTCCAGACCTTAATCCTATAGAAAATTTATGGAGGGAGCTAAAGCTTTGAGTTACCAAGCAACAGCCAAAAAACCTTTGGGATTTAGAGAAGGTCTGTAAAGAAGAGTGGACCAAAATCCCTCCCGAGATGTGTGCAAGCCTGGTAAACAACTAAAAGAAACGTCTTATCTCTGTGCTTGCCAACAAGGGTTCCTCCACAAAGTACTAAGTCATGTTTTACTTGGGGATCAAATATTTAGATTATTCACTGAACTGCAACTTTTTTCTGGATTTTTGGTTGATATTCCGTATCTATCGTTTAAAATACAAAAATGATAAAAAAATATAGACTCTTAATTTCTTTGTAAGTGGGTAAACAAAATCTGGAGGGATCATATCATTTTTTCCCCATTGTATATGCATCAAAAGTTGTGATACAAATGGGTCACTAGACAACACACTCGTGTCTGTTTCACAGAGCCACCTGGCTGACAGCCATCAGACAAACAGGCTAACTCTCAGCCAGCTCACAAAATCACAACACCAACAGCTCCAATCTATGTTTCTCACTGCAAACTATTGTGCGATATCAAACAAATGTAAGAAATCTATTACTATGCCAGATGATAAATTCAAATAAAGATGCAATCTTAAGTGCAAATAATAAATGATTTGCATACAAGCCATGAATTGGTACAATTGGGTCTATTGATTGCCACAGTATTTATATTGTGGCAATCAAAAGGCCCAATTGTACTAGAAAAAGAAGAAAACAATTTACAAGAAAATTCTAATACTATATATAACACACTATGCTATATTAGACTCAATACCTAGCTAAAATAATAATTTTTTTTAGGATGAAAATAAAAAACAACGCCCAAATTATTATTGCATTATTATATAGGATTTATATAGCGCCAACAGTTTACACAGCGCTTTACAATATATAGAGGGACAGTACAAATACAATACAGTTCAATACAGAAGGAATAGGAGGGCCCTACTCATGGAGCTTACAATCTAAAAGAAGGGGAGGTGATAGCTGCGGGGGATGATTTGTTGGAGGTGTTTCAAGTACAGTTCTTAGGTGGAGGCTGGGTAGACTTCCCTAAATAAATGAGTTTTCAAAGATTGCCTAAAGGCAGACAGGGTGGGGGCTGACAAGACATACTGGGGCAGGGAGTTCCACAGGATGAGAGAGGTTCTGGAGAAGGCTGTGATGTAGCTAGGGGCAGTGTTGTGGATGGCTTTGTACGTTGTGGTTAGTATTTTGAATTTTAAAAGCTGGGTTAGTGGAAGCAAGTGAAGGGATTGGCAGAGAGGGGCAGCAGTCACTGATTGGTTGGTAAGGTGTATAAGTCTAGCAGCAGCATTCATTAAGACTGAAGAAGGGGTAGCCTGTGTAAAGGTAGGCCAGTGAGGAGGGGTTGCAGTAATCAAGACAGGATATAACCAAGGCATGGATAAGTTGTTTTGTGGTGTCGTTAGTCAGGAAGGGGCAAATTCTGGCGACGTTTGAGGCGGCAGGATTTAGCCAGTGATTGGATGTGGGGACTAAAGGAGAGGTCAGAGTCTAGGCTTACGCCTAGCACACTGGCATGTGGGGAGGGACCAATGGTTGTGCTGCTGATCTTAATGTCATGAGTGGGGGATCGGGCAGTGGTGTATTTTGATTTTTTTTCTGCCCCAGTCAACACAAAAAAATTTGCCCGCCCCCCATAAGAGAGAGAGAGAGTCAATAAGTGTGTGTATGTATAAATCATTCTCTCTCTCTCCCTTTCTTTCTTTTCTCTCTCTCCCTTCCATCTCTTTCTCCCTCTCTCTTTTCCCTTCCCTCTCTCCCTTCCCCCCCTCTCTTCCCTCTCTCTCTCTTCCTTATCTCTCTCTCTCTCCCCCCCCCTCTCTGTTCCCCCCCTCTTTCCCCCCCTCTCTCTTCCCCCCCCCCCTCTCCCCTCTTTCTCTTCTCTCTCTCCCCCCCCTCTCCCCCTCTCTCTCTTTTATCCCCCTCTCTCTCTCTTTCCCCCTCTCTCTTCCCTCTCTCTCCATTTCCTCTCTCTCTCTCCTCTCTTCTCCCCCCCCCTCTCTCTCCTCCCCCTCTGTCTCTACCCTCTCTTTCTCTCCCCCCCCCCCTCTTCCCTCTCTCCTCTCTCTTCCCTCTCTCTCCCTCCCTCCCTCCCCCTCTCTCTTCTATCTCTCTCTTTCTCTTCCCCCTCTCCCCCCCTCCCTCCCCCTCTCTCTCCCCCTCCCTCCCCCCTCTCCCCCCTCCCCCCTCTCTCCCCTCCTTCTCTCTCCCCCTTCCCTCTCTCTCCTCTCCCTCTCTCTTCCCTCTCTCTCTCTCCCCTCTCTCTCTTCTCTCTCTCTTCCCTCTCTCTCTCTCTTCCTTTCCTCAGATCGTATTGGGGCTGCACACACACACCTCCTCCAAGGGCTGCTGATCTCCGGGCAGCAGGAGGGGGGGGGGAGGTATGTGCAGTCCCATACGATCTGCCAGTGTAGGGAGGGAGGCAGGGAGATCCCACAGAACACAACACAGCTCACCTCCTCCGGGCTCTTTCATCTCTGCCACTTCTCCTCTCCCTGCTCCAGGCTGTCCCCTGGTCCTGGCTCATCAGCTGCTGGAAGGAGAGGTACATGAGAATCGCTCTGCAACTGCCCTCACTCACATCAATCCTCCTGCTGTCCGGGCCTGCAAGAATACCGAAGGTACCCCTCTGATGGCGGCCCTGCATGGCTCTGTCTGCTGCTGCTCAAAAGGTCCCTTCTTCCGGGGGGGGGGGGGCGTTGCCACCCTCCTAAAAACTGCCACCCTAGGTAAATGCCTTGTTTTGCCTCGTGGTAGATACGCCCCTGGGATCAGGGAGGAGGAAACAAGCTCAGTTTTTCAGAAAGTGGTGTGTGACATCCATACTGATATGTCACTTAGTAGATTTGTGATACATGAACAGTTAGAGGGGGTGAGCTGGGGAGTGGAGAAATAGATCTGGGTATCGTCAGTGTAGAGGTGGTATTGGAAGCCATAGGAGGTTATCAATTGGCCCAGGGAGGAGATATAGAGAGAGAAATGGAGGGGCTCAAGGAGAGAGCCTTGAGGTACCCCTAAGAGGAAGAGGAGCAGAGGAGTTGGTTTTGTATGTGATGCTGAAAGTGTGCTGAGAAAGGTAAGAGGAGAACCAGGAAAGAGCAGTTAGTAGGTCGTTTTGAGTTTTAGTAGGACAGTTTTAGTGGAATGTTGTGGGTGAAAGCCAGACTGTAGGGGATCAAGAAGGTGGTTGTCGCTGAGGTGGCAAGCTTGGAGGCAAATGGGTGAAAGAAGATGGGCCTTTAGTTATTCAAACAGGTGTGGTCCAGCAAGGGTTTTTTAAGTATAGGAGTAACCAATGCATGTTTGAGCAGGTAGGGAAAGGTGCCAGTGGAGAAGGAGAGCTTGAAGATGTGGGTTAAAATGTCGATGATAGAGCAGGATAGAGTCTATCCTTTATGATTAAGTCCCGGATGTGACAAAACGCGTCAAAGGAAGTGACGTCGGACGTACAGCAGGAACCGGAAGTGGTACGGTGGCCATCTTAGAGTTTGGAAACCGCAGAGAAATCCACCTGGAAGCTGCCTGGTAACTCTTTGAATTGGGAATACATTCACTACGCCTGGTTTTATTTGTTTGATGAATCTCTGAGAGATCTGGGCAAGGCTCATGTGGTACCATGATGGGAAGGTAATAAAAGTGGAAAGCTTTAGGAGTAGAGGAGAGGAGAGGAGAAGAAGCGTTTCTGATGATACCTTCCATTGCTTTACAAGGCGTTTTATCTTATGATTTCTGGTAAGGGTATATTTGCTGATTTCAGTAGAGGTGACACACCACTGGAGTTGTTTTTGGCACAGAGTGAAGCACATCACTGATTTTGCACAGTGTTGGTCTATTTCACAAAACATTTTTTTCTTTTTTTTTTTGCACAAAAACGTTTTTTTTTTTTTTTTTTGCACGAAATAGAGTGATATTGAATATTGATATATACCAGGTATTGAGGTAATACACTATTGTGAGTTTGTTTTTTCTTTGAGGCACTCTCCAACTTCGTGGGAGCCAGAGGAAGGGCTCTACATCTTTAAAGAATTATCAAGTTGGAGTTTGGACATTGCTTTATTTGTTTATAATTTTGGACTTTAGTGACACTGGGTATTAATTTTATTTTGTGAAGAAGACTTTATTTACCTCATTTTTCATTTCATCTCATTTTATTTTATTTACTCATCTTTGTATTAGTACTTTTTGGAGATTTATTTCCTAGGATTTGTTTGCCATTAATTATAGGGTGGGGATTTAATAAGGTGGGGATTCATTCATATTGTTACATGATTATTAGCACTTTAAAGGGTGAAAGTTTTTTTATGAATATTGGGATAGTTCAGTAGATTATTGGATACCGTATCTCACATTTATAGAGCAGGAAGGAGGCCGCAATAATTGTGAGGGGACAGGGTCCAGAGGACAGGTGGTGAGGTGAGCCTCGGAAAGGAGTTTGGCAACTTCCTCCGTGGTAACGGGGCCAAAGGAGGAGAGTAGTGAGTTTGGTGTTGGACCTGGTATGTTGGTTGGAGGAAGCTTGGCACTGGAGATCTCATCACAAATTGTTTTGATCTTGTTCTTGAAATGACTGGCAATCTCCTGGGCAGTAAATAAGTTGGTAAGTGGAGGAAGTGGGGAATTAAGTAAGGAATTAAGGGTAGAAAAGAGTTGATGAGGATTGGATATGGAGATTTTGATGACAGTGTTGTAGAAGGTTTGTGGAGGCTGGAGTTATATTTGAGAAGGGTGGATTTGTAGAGCGTGAAGTCTTGCAGTGATTTAGTTTTAAGCCACGTTCGTTCAAGAGCACGGCAGCGTCTCTTGAGACCTCTGGTGTCATCTGTTTGCCAGGGTTGTAGCAGACGAGGCCTGGTTCTGCATGTATGGAGAAGAGCAAGTGTATCCTGGGAGGATGATAGTAAGTTGTTGTAGGCACAGATGTGGCCAGGTCTGGGCGGGACAGGGGTGACATTTTATCATAAAGGCACTTGGTAGCAGAGTGAAAAAGAGAAGGGAAGGGCTGAGGTTTCTGTGAGTAACTGACAGGAGAGTCAATTACTGAGAGTTACTGACAGGAGACAGGGAGAGTGTGAAACTGATAAAGTTCTGATCAGAGAGAGATATTAGAGAGGTTACAGGGAGTGCATAGGTGGGAGAATACAAGATGGAAGGTGTTGCCATTAGAGTTGAGTGGTGGTCTGTGTCCATTGTGTTAGGTTAATGTATAATACTATGCAAAAAGGAAAAAAAAGATATAAACATTTTTAATTCTCATCATAAAAAATATTAAGTGAAGATCCCAAAGCTACAAGTATATAGAAATAAATATGTAAGGACTAAATGCTAAAACAGAAGCAAAAGAGCAAGGGAAGGGAGGAGGGGAGAGAGAGAAGAGACGGGAAAGGGGAGGCAGGGAAAAGAAAGGGAGGGAAGGTGGAAGGGGTTAAAGGGAACAGCAAAAAGAATAAAAAAAACAAACAAAAAATGACCAGAAAGGAACATTTAGCTCTTTTCCATAATAGTGGATAATATCCCTTTCGTACGTTAATCCTCCTGGGATATGGGTGTCTAATTTAAAAATCCAATAAGCTTCTCTCTTGCTGACAGAAGCAAGGCAGTCTCCCCCCCTTCTCCTTCATTAGAGCGGTCAACTCTTTCTATAGTCTGTACCCTGAGGAATTGTAAATCAGACGTATGGTAATGAAAAAAATGACTTTGTATTTCTAGTAGTATTAATATGTGGCAAATGATCTCACAGACATAATTCTCTTGTAGTGCATCCCACATACTGTATGTTGTAAATAGGGTAAATAGGAAAGGTGGTGGTGTCTGTCTCTATGTGAGAAGTGATCTCAGAGCGAGTGTGAAAGAGGACCTAGTTGATGGAGAGTGTGATGAGGCTGAAGCATTATGGGTGGAACTGCACATGGGGGTGCATATTACAAAAGCAATAATTGGTGTTTGTTGTAGGACTGCCAGTGTTAATGAGGAGGTGGAGACTTAGCTCCTTGCACAGATCGAAAGGGCTGCAAGGGCTGGGACAGTGATGATAATGGGGAATTTTAACTACCCGGAAATTGACTGAAGTAATGGTACTGCAGAAACAGTTAAAGGGCAAACATTTTTAAACCTACTACAGGACAATTTTTTGGTATAGTTCATAGAGACCCCTACTAGGAATGATGTTCTGCTGGACCTGGTAATCTCAAACCATGCAGAGCTTATTACGAATGTCCATATAAAAGAACATCTGGGTAGCAGTTGAAAGGATCTAGATAACCTCCATAGCTTTTTGCAGATATATTAGAAGTTTAATGAAACTTTTAGTTGCTCAAGGATGTATCAACAGAAGCTAACATGACCCTGACAATGTCTTTGTCTGGTTGTTTCTCAGAAAGTTAGCCAAAACAATTTGTACCAAGAAATGTATATGTTATGTTTCATGTAGTTAGCTCATGATGGAAATTTACAAGTTACAGTTTTGAAACTCGCTTCCCCCTCCCTTATTTTATCTGTAGTCTATATAATCTTACTAATGCCTAATAAACTTTGAACATCTCTGAACATAAGCTGCCGTTATTTCCGTGTTCAAGGGGTGTTCCCAGAATTCTGCTGATAAACCAGGAATCTCTCCGCAGATCGGGGGTCTCTGAGGGGATAAAGAAAATCATTCCTTTCAGCTGGGGGCTCGTCCGGGATGACCACCCACCTCACTTGGTAAGTAAACCTTTTGTCTTTTTATGACTAAAAGCTCTTTCTTGCCCTGTGTTGAGGGAAGGTCTTGAATTATTCTGTATTGTCTATATAGACCCGTGATAACCTGTAGCTGCTTTTGGTAAGCAGACTTAACTCTTTGGTAGAGTTACAAAATAGTGCACTATAAAAAAAAAAAAAAGAGTGTTTTTGGTAAACACAGATTGTTCTCTGGTAGAACACACTGTTTTTTGGTAAAACAGTGAAGAGATAACTTTTGGGAAGTTATCAAAAGGTTAATAAGTCTGTGGAGCAGATTCTGGTTTATCTGTCTTTTGCTTTTTCTTTCTGTTGCGTAGAAGTATAAGATAATTTGTTGTGTGGAACAAAATAAGATTTTAAGGTAAAATTGTCTTATCCACTGTCTAAATTTGGGTCAAGGAGGTAGTTTTACCCACCAGGTCCCCTAGAAAAGGGAGAAAATTGTAAGGATTATGTTGCTAGAGTTTGTGGAACGGACTATTATTTAATAAATCCCTGGGTGGATTGTATGGCAGGTTGGACAGAAGCTATGGGAAGTACAGACCCATTCCAGAGAGAGAGGGAGAGATTTTATGGGAATTTTAGGGATTTCTCTGAGAGTAACATCAGAAGGAGGTATTGTTGCCAGATCCTCCAAAGTACCCATAATACCCACCTATTTCAATGATGAGAGTCATCCCTCACACATTACACCCCCTCCTGATACACATCCAGTTTGGGCCACAAATTCTATGGATATAGGATTAATTTCATATACACCATACACAGTCACACTCAAGGAAGGGGCATTGCCCTACAAACAGAGGCAATACAAATTGTTGCCAGAGAAGGAGGAAGGGATTGCTCCTCTAGTGGAAAGATTTTTAGAAACAG